ATGATGGATGTTGATCTCACATGTACAGATGTGTCAGTGGTGTACAGTACACTCTCAGTGGTAACAGACCTACAGGACTCCTCCACCTTAGCGGTGCTCCAGCGCTGCACAGTGCTTCTCATTCGCCCATTCACTGACATGCTCACGCAGGAATGGTGGTGGAGCTGCCACGCAAGGAGTGTAATCTCTTGCATCTCCTCCAGCTGGTGCCTTAATTATCTTTCTGTTCACTTTCAGCCACATTGTGAACCACCTGGTGAGAGCAAAGTCCAAAGAGGTGACCCTACATAAAGACGGCCCTCTGGGGGAGACAGTGTTGGAGTGCTACAACTGTGGCTGTCGCAATGTCTTCCTGCTGGGCTTCATCCCCGCCAAGGCGGACTCGGTGGTGGTGTTACTGTGCAGGTGAGGGCACTTTTCTGCAGCCGGCTAAGCGCTCTGAACTCCTGACGACAGGGCAGTCAGTGGGAAGACAGCAGTTCAACGTTTCATGTGAGATTTCTGTTTTGATTGTAACACAGGCAGCCGTGTGCGAGTCAGAGCAGCCTCAAGGACATCAACTGGGACAGCTCACAGTGGCAGCCCCTAATCCAGGACCGCTGCTTCCTGTCCTGGCTGGTCAAAATCCCCTCGGAGCAGGAGCAGCTCCGGGCGCGTCAGATCACGGCCCAGCAGATCAACAAGTTGGAGGAGCTCTGGAAGGTACTGTCAACCCAACTGTCCTGTACTTATTCTTAACATGCAAGCGTGGCTCCGGCGTATGTTTATATTGAACCAGATCTGTTGGTACAGCTGGTGGTTATGCAAATAACACACCTGTCCTTGTTTGCACTGCCCAGTTCACTTCCGTGTTTCTGTTCTTTGTCGTTTTCTGTTGTGTAGAAGTTCTGTGCCGCTGTTCTTCTGTGTTTTTCTTTTGGATGTTTTTCTCTCTTTTCTCTCTGCTGACATTTTGACTTGTCATATTTTTTAAAAACTACTCGACACAGTGATCCTGATGTGTTCAGGTGTCCCGCTCTGCTGTTCCTGGAGTGACATGTCAGAAGGTTGTGTTTTATTTACAGTTTTACACAATACAAACTATGGAGCAGGAAGAGCGCCAAGTTACAAAAATAAATCAATGAAAGAATAATAAAATAAAAGTGGAAATAAAAAGAAGAATAAATAAAATAAAAGATAATGTGGCAATATTTATCAAAAATGAATCCATAAAAGAAANAGTGTGCTTGGTTGTCTGTCTCTAAGTGTAGCCCTGTGATAGACTGGTTACCTGTCCAGGTGAACCTGCCTTCACCCTGAGTCAGCTGGGATAGACTCCGCCCCCCATGACCCCAGTGAGGATGAAGGTGTAGAGATGATGGATGGATGTTGTGTCTGTCGGTGGATGGGCTCTGTGTGCAGTGAGCTTCATGGTGCCTCTCAAGCTGCCTGAGTCGTTCTGTTTCATCGTTACTGAAGCATGGTTTACAGCAGCAGAGGTGCTGCGGTATCATTTGAAGTGAATCCCTTTTAAATCAAACTGATGGCGAGTTAACACCAATTATTTGCCTATTTTCCTGTGCTGCTCTTTTTTGTGTTGCTCTTAATCTGATCTACGCTCCTCGTGTTTCTTCTTTAATTCCCGTTAGTTATTGTGGGATCCACGATCCAGCCTGCGTTGTCTACTGCAACACCAGCAAGAAGTGGTTCTGCAACGGCCGAGGAAACACGTCAGGCAGGTGAGATACGGTACCTTGCTGACCCTGCCCAGTGCTGTGCTTATGTGAATGAACCAGGAGGGAAACGTTTCACTCGTACAGTTCCATTAAACAGGAGCACAGCGGGCCGCTTCTGTTGTGTTCACAAACCTCCGTTCTACATCTATCGTTGCTGTTTGGTTGCTGAGTTACAGCCATAATCTAAGAGGACTGTTTACTGGCTTTCAAGGGCCACTTAAGCTAATATTAAGTATTCAAGTCCAAAGCAAGGCAGCATTTTATAGTACTTTAATGTTTCCTCAACGGGTGTAATTGAAGATGGATTCTTTTGAATCGTCAGTTGTGACCCAGAGACGCTGTAGGCCAGAGCTTCAGCAGGTCTATGTGTTTGGTATTATGAAGCACATACATGACGTATCCACGGTGTTATCAGAACGAGCATCCTGCTGTGTCAGCGTCAGCTTGTGTGGACACATCGAGTTTCACAGTATATCCTCATCCTAGAGATATCATTGGCTGCATTTGTTTACAGACATGTTTTGTGTGAAATCGACCAAAAGAAAACTGTCAAGACATGTTGATCTCAGGCTGCAGGTGTCTCAGTGGTTAGCACCGTGGCCTCACAGCTAGAAGGTTGCCGGTT